TATTAATGTATATTAAGCAAAAGAGTGTGCATTTGCCTTTAGAAGAGTTATTTGGGGAGCTGTGGGAAACACATTGGGACTCGGATAGAGAAATGTTTGAAGATGGAGTTAGGAAGTAGTTAGGAGGTTATGGCATCATTTCAAGGAAGAAGAGACAAGTGTCTAATTCATTCATTCAACAGACATTGCATTTAGGAACTATTAAATAGGTTGGACCTATCTAGAATTCTCTATGACTAAGGAAAGGGAAGAATCTAGCATGAGTCCTAAGTCCAAGTCTGGTTGACTGGAAGAAAATACTTTAGAGAGGTGAGGATTTGAGAGGAGAGGAAAGAGGATCTCAGTAGGTTAGTGGACATGTTGACTTTGAAGTTACTGTAGTATATCCAAGTGGAAATGCACAACAGACAGTTGATTGTCCAAGGTCTGCAGTTTAGATGAAAGACGGGACTTTACTCAGAAGTAAAAGTGTTCAGGTAGATAATGCCTGAAAGTGAGAGATAATACTTGGTGAGGGGGCACTGTCCCTTAGGAACACTGACATTTGTGGGAGCCAAGGAATATATTTCTAGAGAGAAAGGTAGGATGGGGTGGACAAGCAGGAGGAAAAGGCCCAATGAAGAGATACCATAGAGGACAAGACAAGGAGCTGCCCACTGGCTCAAGAACCATGAAGTCAAGACAGAAAGGGAACTGTGCACATTTGACTTTTCACCTGGGATCCTTGGTGATGTTGGCAAGAGCTTGAGTAGTGAAGCAGTAGGGTGCAGTAGGTGTGGAGGCAGGCGACAGACTTAAGGAGTTGCTGGAAGTGAAGAGATGTGCACGGATTATAATTTTAGGATACTAGGAAAGACAAGCATGTGGGATTTTTAAAAATTGGTGGTTATTCAAGCATTTTTTAAAACATGTACATCTTGTAAATGGAGGAGGGGGATAGGGAGGCTGATAATTACTTTGTGAAAGTCCTTGAGATAGATGGGTTGGAGGCAGAAGTGGAAGCCAGCTCTCACATGAAATTAATTCATATTGTCTGAAAAGTAGGAAGTTGGAGAAGAGGTATGGATAGTTGGGATTGCAGGTAAGTTTATAGAGGGGTACTGGTGGTAGATTCTGGCTTCTCTAAAGGATTTAATTTGAATTAAGCAGGGAAAGAGGGTTCCTTTAGAGTGTGTGGGATGAGAGAGAAAAGGAGAAGGGTTTAAAAGTTGTTAAGAAGGAGAAAAAATGTACATGGAACACAAGAATAGGTAAAAGATTAAGGGCCTAGACAGGTGGGGTCTAAGATAATCTTTTGCTATTCCCTAAAGGCAACACTAATTTCCTTTCCCTTTTCTTCCCTCCCTCCCTTTCTTCCTTTTCTTTTTAAAAATATTTTTGCAACACAAATTTTCTTAAAAGTCTGTGATACAGAGTCCCCTCTGTCCATCCACAGCACTCTATCCATGCAGAAAGGACAGCAGTCTGACCTTTCACGGTAAGAAGTACTTACCATGCCCCATATGAGAACTGTAAGCTCCTAACTGATATAATTCCTATATTATTGTCATCACTGTATCATCCCCTCTCCTGTCACAGTGATCATATCAGGTAATTCTCAATAGAAGCTTCTTGCATTTTAAAAATTTTTGAGCTGAACTCTGCTCTGACTACCATAGATTAGAGCTTCACTGAAGCTTTTAACCTGCTTTCAGGACTGTGATCTGAGATGGTTTGTGTTGGTGGAGTGTGTTGGTAAAAGTCGTAAGGTCCAGTGCTTTTGGCATTTGATATAAAGCAATTTTTCCTCTTGATTTGCTAATTTTCTTGTACTCTGCATCACTTTTGGTGCAATTTGTCTGCTTTCAGATTTCTGTAAGCACATCTTGTTTATTCAGAATTTCCTTACTCATGATAATTATTTTCCTTTATTTGCCCCCTGTATTTTCTATCTTTTCTTCACTTTGCTGTCTCATCAGAAGGCAACAAGCAAAGGAGAAAAACCCCAGATTAGATCATTTTTCCTACTTAGTAGTTCTTGATATGTGTTTCTAAAGGATGAAGTTATAATTAAGGTCTGGAGTGACATTTTTACACTACTCTCATTTATTACTTATTAATGTAAAAGGTTACTCAAAACATGGTTTGGTTTATTCTGGTCAATTTTATTTTAAATATTACTGACAGCATTTTTTCTACTTAAGTTACTTTAGCTGTGAAAGAAGTAATGCAGTGAAATCAGTGCTTTCTGTGTTCTTTACCAAAGTTATTTTCTAAACATAGTTGTGCAATTATGTTGTGTTTAACAACCACTTCTCACCTAGAGTTTTCTCAAGAAGTTTGATAGGATAACAGAACTCTTCACTTTCATTTCTTCTACTGAAGAATAATTTTTAAAATTATTAAATTTTAATATTTTAAAATTATTTAAAATATCATTTTTAAATCTTTTAAGTGATTCAAAAGTGTACAGTGGACATGTCAATTTTTTTTTAATTTCACTCATTAATTAAAAAGCAAACTAGCAAGGATGCAAAACACATTTGAAAGAGAGTTGGGAGAGTGAAAAGATTTATAAGCAGGAAGGAATGCTGAAATAAAGTTGCTAATAGATGCAAACTTCGTCAGTATCCTTATCAGTAAAACATAATTTTTGGAATGTTCTTTTCCACCAGGTGGAAATCAGTTGCAAAACAAAATTTATTTGTATCTCTTAGGACACCAGTAATGTGCATTACAATCCATTTTCAACAACTTCTGGAATTGTAAAAGAGCCCAAAGTCAGTGAAAGACACTGGTCCTTATAGAGTCAGATAATTCCAAAGGGTCTGATAGACAGTGCTCAGCACTCCACCGAAAGGACACCCAGTAATCTTTCTGTCCATGTCAGATTCTTTCACATATTTTTTGACACTTGCCATCTTTTGTAATTCCGACATCATCGCCCCTTTATACACTGTGGATTCTTCCCCTCCTTTCTTCTCTCTCATGGGAAATAATTCACAACTCTGAGGTTTTTGAAGAATGCAATTTGAAGTCCAGATTTTGCCTGGAGCTTCCTAATATCTGGGTGGCTAGAAACAGAACTAGAAAGAAGTGAGCTGTGGACACCCACAGGGCTCCTTCAGAGGGCAAGTTCCCCAAAGTACAACAGTTTGGACCAGTAAGAGAGAGTCAAGATCATTACATTAAAATGCCACACTGTCTAGTTTTTATAGTGTAAAATTATTAAATTTTAATATTTTAAAATTATTTAAAATATCATTTTTAAATCTTTTAAGTGATTCAAAAGTGTACAGTGGACATGTCAATTTTTTTTTACAGCACAGTATTGTTTAGAGAGCATTAGCCTATATATTTTTTCCTTTGATGTTCACCATAGTTTTATGAAGTTGCTGTGAAGTTTTTGTTTTGTTTTGTTTTGTTTTGTTTTACAGTGCTAGAGATTGAACCCAGGGCCTATAGCATGTTTCACAAGTGCTCTGTCACTGAGTTACATCCTCTATATCCCCAGTCCCCAATGTTCTTTTTTTTTTTAATCTTTTTTTTTTTTTATGTGATTAGGATTGAACCTAGGGGTACTGTAACACTGAACTACATCCCCAGCCCTTTTTAGAGACAGGGTCTTGCTAAGTTGCTTAGGGATTCACTAAGTTGCTGAGGTTGACCTCCACCTTGCAGTCCTTCTGCCTCAGCCTTCCTAGTCTCTGGGATTATAGGCATCTACCACCATGCCAGATCTTTTTATCCTCTTACTTATAGAGTGAACCAAGGCATAGAAAAATGAGTTACTTAAGATTACATACCAAAGAAAAAAAATGACAGACATAGGGTTTGTGCTCAGTTTATGAACACCATCCAGGTCATATTCAATTCTGCATCCTTACGTTCAATTTTTTCATTGGATAATAAGTATGTTCTTAGAATAATAACAACCTAAGCCCATGAATTTTGATTCTAGTTTATAGAGATGAAAGACATCTTAAGGACAAACTATTTACACTTCATTTGTATTCGTTAGTGTTTTGCTGAGGAAAAAAAAATTACCACTTAGATAAAAGAGTTGATAAGAGGCTGAAGAACATGGAAGATAACTAGTTTCTCCACATTGTTATACATTTTAGTTGTATACTGCAGCTACTGGCAATTTGTGCCATTAGGAAGAGTTGATGGAATACACCCTGATCATTAACAATATTCGCTCTTGGTTTCAACTTGTTTCTTGGCTTTTAGAGTGGTTTATGGTTTCTAAAAGGAAGAAATACCTATAATATACATTTGGAAATTGTTGTTCTGTAGATTCAGTGAAATATAGAAGTGGGAAAATGCCATTCAATTGTATCTAATCCTTTGTAAGGCTTGCATACAAAATGTCTATTGCTGTCTAGATTTGCAATGGGAAAATTGCCACAGAGAATTTTTTTCTCGTTAGTATTCTAAGACTTTCCATCTTTGTGGAAAGATGTGATTTGATGTATCCAATTTACTTTGTATATTAAAGTACAGTAGAACTGCCCCTCTCCTTTTTCTTTTAGGAATGTAGCATAAAGGTAGAGATAAATTTTATATCAGTTTAGCAAGTTATATGTAGAAGAAGTGTATAGCAGTTGAGAGTGAATATAGTATTTGGGTTGATTTTTCTCTTCAAAATTTTCCCATGGTAAGGACAATACTTTTCTACATATATCAATAGGCAGAAATGATTACTTCAAAGCTTTAAAAGCCAGATGACTGTACCTGCATGTTCCAACACAGTTGCTGAATTTATTCCCAAGATGCATGGTAATGTATACTTTGCATTATTGAGTCTGGATAAAGAAAAGTTACAGTGTCATCTATCAGCTGTGCAAGTTAATATCGAAATAATCTGTTTTTCACTTTACTGTTCTTCCCTATTGCTGCACTACTTGCTTAAATGAACCCTGGAAGCTTTGCAGTTTATTTTAAGGATTTGTAACATACCTAAGATTTATAGTATAGAATTGTATAATTAATGAAATCTTTTTCTTTTTCTTTTCCAGGTTCAGCCCAGCTACTATTTAATAAAACCAAATCAGTAGAATTCACCTTTTGCAATGAAACTGTTGTCATCCCATGTTTTGTTATTAATGTGGGGGCACAAAACACTAACGAAATGTATGTGAAGTGGAAATTTAAAGGAAAATACATTTTCATCTATGATGGAGGCCAAGACAACGCTACTATGGACAGTAACTTTTCAAGTGCAAAAATCGCAGTCTCAGAATTACTTAAAGGAGATGCTTCTTTGAAGATGGATAAGCGTGATGCGAAAGTAGGAAACTACACATGTGAAGTAACAGAATTAACCAGAGAAGGTGAAACCGTTATAGAACTCAAATATCGTGTTGGTAAGTAATATAGTTTGAATATGGTTTTTCCCCTTTGAAACTCATGTCAAAACTGGATTGCCGTTGTGACTGTTGGGGTGGTAGGGCCTCTAAGACGTGATTGATTAGGTCATTGAGAGGGATTAAGGCCTTTCTTGAGAAAATGAGATATGACAAAAGAAGTCCCTCCCTTGTTCTTTTGCTCTCTAAAACACATTGCACCCTTCCACCATGTCATAGTGCAATACCAAAAGCAGAGTAGATGCCTATACCATGCTCTTGGACTTCTCAGTCTCAGAAGTATGAACCAAAATAAAGCTCTGTTCCTTATAAATCGCCCAGTCTCAGGCACTCTCTTACAGCAACTGTAAACAGACTAAGACAGTAAGACCTCTATAATAGCTTCCTCTTTGTCCTGCTACAACTGTGATCCTATTAGAAATGGAGCACCCTGGGACTAGGAACTCCTTTGAACCAGAAAGCAAGCCATTAATAATGAATGTTAGTATAATGTTTACCAGCTTAAGACCATAGTTTCTATCTTATTTGCTCTGCTTTAAAATTTTCCGAAGTTTTAAAACTCATCAACTGATCATTCATTTATTTGTTGTGTGGCTCTCAAACTTTTGGTCTGAGGACTGTTGTTCTATTTGGTTAATCAGTCCTGAGACATCTACTCTGCATTTCTGTTTACTGCCATCAGAAGTACTTTGTTTCATTTGATTAGTTTTTTAGTCTATTTACAATTATTAGTTTCAGTTATTAATTTTGTTTTGTAACTTTTCACTTTGACCAGAAGTTGACAAAAACAACACAGGAAGCTGTGCTTCCTCTACAGAGGATGAGAATCTAGATATTAAAGGTGAGGTTATCATGGGTGATTCCTTTCCTTAAGGTTCTCAGTGCTGAGCCTTACTTAGAATAATATTTGGCCAAGATGTGGGGGAACAGGGATCTAACTTAATTGAATTTGTGTTTTGTTTATAGCACAATTCTGCCCTCTTCGCCAAACTGGGTTGTGTGAGGCCATGAAGTTAGCTGGAGTATACAGTCTTTTTGCTATTACTTGCTATGCTAGCTTATTTCTTCATCCACAAGAGAGGGGGGTTTTTTTGGCTTTACATTTTTAAAGCTTTATTTTGCATCACCCAACATATTGCTGATCTTGGGGTTGACCATACTTTGAGATGGGATCAGAACAGTTCATTGGATCAACTAGGTTCTTTCTATTCTTCTAGCCTTTACTGTTATGTCTCTTTACCCCACTGGGAATGGAGTGTTTAGCTTCATGAAGTATTTGACATCGCTCAGGATTGGGAATCAGCATCTTACTATTTACTATATGTTCTTGAGAAGTTGCTTCATTGAGTCCAAGTTGCTTCATCTCTAAAATGGGAATGAAAATAGGTAGAGACTTACTTTTATGTGTTCTCCAGGATCTAATGAAGCCTATGTGTTAGAAGTTCTCTGAAAACTAATGTGTATTACAAGTGTTACTTGTTTTCCTGGGATGTTCATATTATAAAGGTATCAGGTTGCTGAAGCCAGCACGGAATATTGTGAGAGGGATTTTGCGCAGGAGAAACAGGCAGGGAATGGCTTAGAGCAGACAAGATTTTGGAAGGCTTTCCTGCTCAGAAATCTTGCCTACCTTGTAATTTTTACTACTGATATTAATATGGGCAAAGGAGATTTTTTTTTTTAAATGTACGCATTTCAGAAGGGAGCTAGTCAGTCAGTCACATACATTGTGAGTGCCTGGAGGGAGATGATCTAATACCTGATTGAAATTTGTCTGGAGTAATTAAGAGTTTCATGGGAGTGAAAGAACAAATTCTGAGGGACAGTAACTTCGGAGGCAAGGTAGTTCACTGAGAGGAAAACTGAAAACTGGTAAGAACCAAGACCTAAAAGGTCAGAAGATAGAATGAAAATGAATGGTAAGGGAATACCAGTATCTGAGATGAAGACAAGGTTACATTTTGCATGTCATTGTTTTATTTTTCTTTGTTTTTAAAATACCATGTAAAAAACTTATTTATATTTAGATGAGAAAGTATTATTTTATTATAGAGAATATAGAACAATTTACCAAAGGACTGAAACATTTGACACCCATTTTTATTTTTTAAAATAATTATTGATTCACAGAAAGAGTCAGAGAAAGGTGCTGTGTCCCCCTCTTCCAGTCTTCCCTAATGGTTACATCTTGTGTAACTATGGCATAATATCAAAAGCAGGAAGTTCAGTGTGTTTGAGTGTTTCTCTGTCATTTCTACACATTGTTCTTGTGTAACTATCACAGTCGTTGGAATGGAGAGAGCTATTTCATTAACAGACATCTCTTTCATCAAACCTTTTATGGTCACACCCCTACTTCCATTACCCCTAATCTGACAAGCACTAATTGGTCAGTGTTACATAAATGCAATCATTTGATAGATGACTTTCCAATATTTTGGCTTTATCACGGAGCACAGTGCCCTTGAAATCCATCCACGTTGCTACATGCATCATTGCTTAGGTTCCTTTGTTGCTTTGTTTTATTTTTTGTTTGCTCCCCACCCCCTGCCTTTTTTTTTTTTAACTGAGTAGTATTCATTGGTATGGATTTATCAGAGCTTGTCTAGCCATTCACCTATTTCAGGACATTTGGTTATTTCTAGGTATGAGTTATTACAAATGAAGCTGCTGTGAACAATTGTGTACAGGTGCTTATTTAGATATACATTTGGTTTTGCTGATCCATTCATAGAAGTATGATTACTGGGTCATATGGTAAGTGTATGCATAGTTTCCAAGAATGGCTGTTCCATTTTACATTCATTTTACATTATCAGCAACGTGAGTGACCTAGTTTCTCCACATCTTAGCCATGATTTGGTGCCACTATTTTGCAACAGTTTTTCTTTGGAAAAGTAAAATATTATTCTGCACCAAAAGGATAAGTAGGGCAGTACTCTTAATTGGGAATGCACATTTGTTGTAATAATGATACCCATCATGTAGACTTCAGGAACTTAGGCATTAGACACTATTTTTACTATAATGTGCTTTTGTATGTGCAAAAAAATAGGTATAAATGAGGAATAGAAATCACTCAATGAGAATTGAATCCCACTTAATAGAATGCAGGTAATGGAGACTGTTCAGTGTTCCCTTTTCTGGATCATGAGAATAGAATATGTGCAAGCATGGTCTATAAGACATGGTTTTGTAGACCTCCGGTGCCAGTGGACAGTACAACACTATGGAAGGAGCACAGTTCTTGAATTTAGAAAGCTCTTTTCTATAGTTCATTTTTCTAGCTTACAGAACTCAAGAGAAGTTCAACCTATCTGTCCCTCAGTTTTCTATTAGTACAGTGAGGATACTATCTCAATTACAGGAATGTCTATAAAAAATAAGATAATATCTCTCTTGCTTAATAAAGACTTGAGTGCCTACTATGTTACAGGTACTGTGCTAGACGCTGTTGATTTAGTGATGACTAACATGTTACCACTAAGATCATGGAAAAAGCGCAAAATGACCTGACATTTATTTACTTATTTGGGCACATCCTAGATACTTTATGTATGTCATGTTTTTTGAGTTTCTCAAGAACTCTAGGACATGGATGCAGGTCTCACCATTTAATGCATCAGGGGTAAAAGAGACTCAAGATACTTATTCAAGGCCAGAGTCACTGCCAGAATTGTAGCCTGGATCTCTTTGACTTCTAAATCACCATATTGTGTGTTTCCTGTGTGAAAATACCTTGTAAATAACCAAATACTAACTGTAAATATTAGTACTTATATGATTAATTATTAATAATAAGCCAGGCAGAGTGAAACTGTGCCTGTAATCTTAACAGCTGGGGAGGCTGAGGCAGGAGGATCGCAAGTTCAAAGCCAGCCTCAGCAACTTAGCAAGGCCCTAAGCAACTGAAAGACCCTGTCTCTAAATAAAATACAAAAAAGGGTTGGGGATGTGGCTCAGTAGTTGAGTGTCCCAGAGTTCCATCCCAGAACCGCCCCCACCCCAAAAAAATAATTGCTAATAATATTTCTATTTCGATTAATAAGACAAAAAACATTGAGAGCTTAAATTTTATTTTACTCTATGTAAGCTATTAAGGTCATTCAAGTTCAACAGAGTTTCCAGTTCCATCATTGTGAATATGATATACACTTTATTCATAATGATGAAGACACTCTAAGGTCCTCATATTAGTTTTCTAGTGCTGTGCAATAAATAACCGCAGAATAGCAGTTTAAAACAATATACATTTATTCATTCAATTTTTTAACTCACAGCTCTATTCATGGTGTGACTGGGTCATCTGCTCAAAGTCCTATAAAGCTAAAATTCAGATGTTGGCCAAGTTAATATTCTTTTTTTCCCACGTTTTTTTATTAGTGCACATTTTTTATAGTTGTACATCTTGATGGGATTTGTTGCCTATTCGTATATGAGCACAATTTAACAATATAATTTGGCCAACGTCACTCCCCAGCACTTCCGGCTTCCCTCCCTGCCTCTCAACCTCTAGTCCCCTTCCTCTACTGATCTCCCTTTGATTTTCATGAGAATCACCCCCACTTTTCTCTTCCTTTTCCCTCTCTATCTTCTCCATATGAGAGAAAACATATTATCTTTGACTTTCTGAGTTTGACCTGTTTTGCTTAATATGGTCTCTAATTCCATTCGTTTTCCTGCAAATGACATAATTTCATTTTATTTATGGTTGAATAAAATTCCATTGTGTAAATATACTATGTTTTCTTTATCCATTCATCTGTTGATGAACACCTAGTTTGACTATTGTGAACGGTGCTGCTATAAACATGGGTATGCATGTAACACTGTACTAAGATAACTTTAATTCTTCAGGATAAATACTGAAGAATGGTACAGTTGGGTCATATGGTAGTTCCATGCCTAGTGTTTTGAGGAACCTCCATACTGATTTCCATAGTGGTGTACTAATTTACAGTCCCACCAACAGTGTAAAAGAGTCCTTTTCTCCACATCCT